GAACCACCAAAGCCCCCTGTTAGTATCTAGAATAGTCCTTTTCAAACTTAAATGTGCGTACAGATCCACCTAGAGTTCTTGACAGAAGATTCCGATTCAGTGGGTCTAGGTTAGGGCCCAAGATTTTGCATTTCTAAAGGTTCCGAGGTGATGCTGCAGCTTTTGGTCCACAGATCACACCTCAAGTAGCAAGGATCTAGAAAACTCATTCTTGAGATTCAAGGTTAACGTGTAAATTACCAGTTTTTTATTTCATCTTGGGTCATTTGTTCTCATTAGGAGTTGCAGTATCTGATTTACAGTATATTTTGTGTCCTAGAAACATACCATTTGCCCTTGAGCTGAAATTCCATCAAGTCTCCATGTTTGCCCATCATTCTACTCTGGCTCTCGTTATTTTCAGAAACCTTGAAAATTCAGAGTCAGATTAGTTGACTATGAAGGGGCAGTATAAAGTGGCTCTAATTTAATAACTGGTTTAACTTTGTAAATTTTGTGAGACTTACCTGTCTCCCAAAAATAATGTTCTGCCTAAAGTTGACAGAATCTGTGCTGTATCCCGTGGCAAAAAGAAGAGGAAAATTTAGATCATCCAGAAAACAGAACAGTGTTTGTGGAGTTAGGTCTTCCTCCCTCGACATATCCTTCTTCATAGGATTTATCTGCCTACTAAGTAGAAGTTGTTTGGAGGAATGGATTGCATTTCCTTGATCAGAGAGAGAAAGTGCATTGTTTAAATCATCATTTAAAACTATTCCTGACCTTAGAGAGGTGCTGACAGGGCAGTCAGCGTGTCCCCCTGAGACCGTCGTCTTTTTTAGAGTGTCTGGTGAGTAAGGGTTATAAAGACGTCAGAAAACCTGACGGAGAACAGCCACGGTGTTCAAAGTTTGCTGGGAGGCTGTTTTCATCCCCGCTGCTTTGTGATGCTTTTCCTCTGGCTTTTTTTCTGTTGGATGTTTTGACCCCTTTCTAGTGTTCTGTTCAGAGGAAAGTAGATATAACAAGGGTAACGCTTTAATTCTTTTTTTCTCCTTCAGGTGTGATGATGATCAGATGTCTAATGATAAGGAGCGCTTTGCCAGGTAATGTAGTAGAGCGTGGAGGGCTGTGTTGGGGGGCCAGGCAGTGTGAGCATCCTGAATGTTAATTTTATCTGGACAAGAGTGAATTTCTCTGTCCAGTGTCCTTCCTGTTCTGAAAGCTGATGAAACTTAGAAGTTTTGTTTATGTTCAGATGACATGATTTCAAACTAATGGTGTGTACTGCCCAGTGATTTTTATGTTTGTGATGGAGAACTATAGCAAAGTGCTCTCTGCTGTCCCGAGGAACACAAACCATACGGAGTTATTGGTTGTATTTATTATTAAATAGGTCTACAAAATCTGTACACTTAATGGTTTTAGTCTTTTAAAAATGACAAAAGACAAA